CTCTAAACGTCTAAACGTCTAACCCCTAAACCCCTAAACCCCTAAACTCCTAAACCCTAAACCCCTAAACCCCTAAACCCCTAAACCCCTAAACCCCTAAACCCCTAAACCCTAAACCCAGTTTGGGCAGGAAGTCCTTCAAAGCCTCGCTGAGGAGCAGGCTCTGCTGGCGTCAGACTTGCGGCTGTTGTCGTTTTATGATTCCTTTCATGTGGGACTTTCCGAAAATAGGGGGTACCTTATTTTGGGGTCCTTATTATAAGGATGCTATTATTTAGGGTACTATATTAGGGTCCCCTATTTTCGGAAACCCTCATGTATGTAACCCAGGGAACCCAATACCCCTTAATTAAAGGAATGTACCTTAAACTATAGGGGCATATAGGGGCCATAATATTATATGATTTAAGGTCTATTGCTTAATTAAGGGGTATTGGGTTCTCCGGGAAAAGATATAGACACTGAGACAGCAGCGGCACTCGAAGGCCAAAGTCGATGCGACACAGGAGAAGCAGGCTCCCACACTTGCGCGTTGCTCGTGAAAAGTCAGTGGTGAAAGCCGTTGTGGCACTGTGTGCTTAGAGGATCATGGGACTTGGTAAGTAAGGTTATAACTACCTTAATTGGGTCTATAATTACTTATAAGTATAGTTACCTTACTTATAACCCTAGTTGCTAAGTCCCATGATCCTCCAAGTAGATCCTAAACCCTAAGCTTTAAACCCTAAACCCTAAATCCCTAAGCCCTAAGTGCCCTTGAATTTTCCTCTCATCCTCAGGATGAGAAGATCTCAGCTGCCAGCACTCGACTCGACACGCTTGAACAGGGCTTGCAGGAGGCCCCTCCTGCGGTTGAGCGGGCATTCTGTTAAACCCCAGAGAACCCAATACCCCTGAGTTAAGGAATTTACCTTAAACTATAGGGGCCATAATAGTATGATTTAAGGTATATTGCTTGATTGAGGGGTATTTGGTTCTCTGGGAACCTTAGTAAGTTCTTTCCCCTTTTGCCTGGCACGGACAGGTCACCTTGACCTTGGTCCCGGAACTGCAACGACAGCTTGAGAACATCCAAGAGCAGTGCAAGGTTCGCCCTCCCCTTTGATGTGGCTGTTCGGAGACGGCGCTATCAGCTGAAGGCCGTCGAGGAAGCAACTCGGAAACTTCGAGATCAGGAGGTGCACTGCAGGGCAAAACGAGGCATCCCTGCCAAGCCATTTGCTACACCGCTCAAGCAGGCTCAGCTCACCAGCCAGTCGGCTCGCGTTGCTCTCTTGGAAAAGCAGGCTCCGGCCTGAGTTCTTCAACGAAACAAGTCCATAAGCCAAGAGAAGATCGGCTTCACCGTAGCAGATCTGCGCTCAACCCAGCTAAACCTGTGGCAGGTGAACGAGCGCTTGTCCTCCTTGGAGGGCAAGGCCAACGAAAGCCAGGGTTAGTGGCACAGCCTCTTTGTCAAATATGATCGCTATCATTCACTCGATCCTTCGCGGATGTGCTACTCTAGTAAAGGATACTATATACTAGACTGAATGCCATACTATATACTACCCCCACGACCCTAATACAGGTGAGTGGCCTGGAGCTGAAGGGAGAGGAGCGCTACACCGAGGCCCACCGTCTTGAGAAGGGGCCCCGAGCTTCGGAAGGTAACGCCTCGTGAAACGACTACCCATAGGCCCCATAGTAGTTCCTTTTTGGGCTTACCTTCTGGGATCCTAAATACAAGCTACAAGAAGGAGCTACTATGGGGCCTATGGGTAAGACGAAGACTGCGAAGAGAACGAACGTTGCCCACATCATACATCCCATCGCCAGCAAGCCTCAAATCATTCATATGGCTGATCAACTGCCGTTTCTTGCGGTGAAGCTGAATAACCGTACTAGTCCTGCTACCAACGATATCATCTTTTGCAAGCTCTGACTCCTACCGTGGTGCATCGGATGTTTCAGTATTTTCCAGTTTTTGAGCGGAAGCAGGTCAAGCTCTCGATCGCTTCTGTCCAGGAAGGTCGGAACCTCGGATTCCACGGGCTGTGGGATGTTGCATTTGCTGCTTGTCGCCAGTACATCGTCAACATCCGTCAACCGTACTCGTAGTAGCAGCAGCAACGACTGGGATATTAACGGCAGCGAGACCACCGAGATGATGTGCATGGCATGGCTAAGTTATATCGTTGAAAGGTAATTCGAAGTAGCCCTAAACCCTAAGCCCTAAACCCTAAACCCCTAAACCCCTAAACCCCTAAACCCTAAACCCTAAACCCTATTGATGCCGGGAAGAGGGGGGGTGACTTGCCAGGCCAAACACTCCAGGCCGAGGAGATCAAGGCTGCAGAGGCGCAGCCTGGGCTTTCAAAGCGCAGACACCCAGAGAACCCAATACCCCTTGAATGTTTAATTATAGGGCCTTAAAGGGATCTATAAGGGTTTAGGGTTTAGGAATATACCTGAAACTATAGGGGCCATGATATTATGATTTAAGGTATATGGCTTTTTTAAGGGGTATTGGGTTCTCTGGGCATCTGGCAAAGTGTGTGGCAGTTCTTGAAACGCGTCCTTTTTCCACCAGGCTGCCCGACATGAGGCCATGCAGGAAGAGCGCCGACGTCAGCAGGAACAGTGGCTTTGAAAGTGGGCACAGAAGGAGTTTTGTGGATGCGAAGTTCGTCCCTGCTTGCAGGAAGCAGAGGCCTTGCGTGAAAGCGAGCGGGCACAGCTCGAAGCACAGCTGGCGCAGCAGGCCGCCTTAGCGAAATTCCCACCCAGTGTCAGCGATTGCGGCCTCAGCAGCCAAAATGGAGATGACCGATCTGAAGGGGCCGTTTTGGCTCAGCAGGGTTGACATTCTGTCGCCCGAAGTCCAGGAACGAAGCATGTGCCCTCGGCAGCTTGCGAGGGTCCTCGCCAGGGCCCTTTTAAGGCTGGCCGTGAGGTGCAAACTTATTATTATCGATTATATTATATGTATATATATATATATTTATATTATATTATATTATGTTATATTATATATATAATGGTCCTCTTGAGGTCTCGCTGGCATGGCCTCTTTCTGATGCACTCGCAGTTGACCAAGCCCTAGCAGAACCTGAGATGCTTGCTCGCATTCAGCAGCTCCCAACCATGCGCCTTGGCGGCCAGCTGTCTGTCGAGAGGTTGCGTGGAGCTGCCCTTTTCAGCTATGAGGACTGGCGGTCCAAAGTCTAGTCACCCACGAGTCGCGCATTCCTTCTCCCTGAGCAGGAAAGAGGAGGGCAGTCAACGTTGGAGTCTTTGAATCTTGGCCTTGGCACAAGAAGCTCTACTTATTTGTCTTCGAATTCTTCCCGAAGTCAAAAATCGCCCCAGGAACCCTGAACCCTAAAGCCAGTCATCTTGTTTTCACGCCGACTGCGAACATATGGATCCTCGCCTGGCTTGTCCGGTTTGTGAGAGTGTAAACCCCAACTCGCCCGCATTTCTCCGAGAGCGATAGCCGAAACCCTAACAAGCAATGTGGGAGCTAGGATTAGGGGGACCCTTGGGGATATAGACCCTCTCAACCTTTTAAGAGAACCAAAAGTAGGGTTCAGAAGGGGTACTGTACCCATTAAGGGGTACCCCTAATTGCAGGCGTAGATAGCGCGATAGCTCCGTCCAAGGTATCCGCCGGTGAAGCGCTCGGACTGGGAGGCCAGGGTCGGGAAATTCCATGGGGTGCTCTCTTCCAATGGGTGGTTTTCAAAAGTAGGGTCCCTTTTTGGGGGTCCTTGTTAGAAGGGTGCCGTACTGCAGTGGGGATCTAAAAAAGGACCCTAATTTATTGTTCTATCCATAGACCTTATGCGACTGCTCTGGTTGTCATGGCGCATCAACTCGGACGCGCACGCAGGCCGACTACGTTAGAGACGACATGGCAGACCACGGCCAATGGGAAGCCCAAATGGACTACGACGTAGCGAGGCCATCGCTTACGACATGTGATATGAGGGGACCCGTAGGCCTTATAGTAGTTCCTTTTTGTAGCTTATAATCAGGATCCTACTGGTATTAGGTAATCCCAAAAAAGAACTACTATGGGGCCTATGGGGCAGGCCCAATTCAGTGACGCCCTGCATCACTGCATCGTCAGTCCGACCCGAGCTCTGCCAGGAAGCAGCGCCGTGATATGCAAAAGCAGGCGCCTTCTCGTACTTTACTGTAGCTCAGTCCCGAGTTTCCATCTAACCTTGCCTTGTAGGCAAGCACTGGCCGAACACTGCCGGGCATCCCGGCGTACATTTCCCCTGACCAGGCCAAGAATTCGATGAAAGCAGCAGTCATCGCAGAAGAGGAGTTCGAGGACATCAAAAGGGAAACGACTAGTTGGAAGCACGTCGGCGGCATTAGCCGAAAGGCCGTGTCAGCCCAAGAGGACATGCAAAAACAAGAGCTGGTGCTTCGCGACAAGATGCTGCAGGAGTCTTGTGAGAGCACGTGCCAGCCTGAACGGGAAGTCAGTTATCGGTCGCTCGAAGGCGCGCTCCCTGGCCAAGAAACAGGAGGATGTCATCACGGCTCTAAAGGCCAAGCAAAACTGGCAAGAGGAATCCCTGAAGTGGATTGAGGAGCCCTGCGGCGGGCCATGCAGATTCATGTCGTAAAGCAAGGGTAATTTCATGTGTGTACCGCAGCCCCAAGGAAGGCAGAAGCAAGGATAAGCAACAGGCAATACCAATTGCCATGCAGGAGGACATCAAGTATGGCAAAGGTGAGATCAAAAAGTTCCAGAAGGAGCTCCGTGAAGATGTCATTGTGCGGCTTTCCATGTGCGAGATAGTTTCTGGAGGCCATCAAGACGGTTGGGCAGAAGATAAAGGAAAAAGAGAAGCGGTGACTTGATACAATACTGCTTCTCGTCTGGACCTCCTGATACGTGGGATGGATGCTAAGGATTGAGGCCATGAAGCACAGCCACAGCCCACAAAAGAAGGCGACACAGGGCGAAGTATCTTCACTGCAGGTGACCAGTCCATACATTCCTGCTGTACCTGCGTGCTCTCTGGCAGGCTGCGTTCTCTGCACAGGAGGTTCAGGACGTGGGTCATCCGACACGGCATGCATGGTCCAATTGCCGGTGTCGAAGACCTGGAATGACCACGAACAAGTTTGCCACTCTGACACTTGCCACTTAAATTCAACTCCTGCCTTTCACCCACCGGGTAAAATTGGCAAGAATCCCAGCCCCTTGGATCTTGTGGTTGCAGGAGATGGCTTCGCGGCTGCAGCGTCTCAAGAAGATTCTTAAAAAGAGGAAGGCCGCTCTGAAGGCTGCAGCCCGAGATCTTGCGCATGCGCAGTTGAAAGTGACCCTTATATAGGATCCGGTTGACAGGGGTGATGAACTGGGTAGCCATCAGCAGATGTTTGACCACCTGTCGGAGCCGTTCATGTCGTCGAAGTATGCAAGGCAACGCGAAAGAACTTCCAGAATTTGCGAAAGCAGGACGATTGACCTGGCCGTTGAATCTGATTGCGATGAGTATTCAAGCAGCCAACTTCCCACATCTCAAAGCCAAGGAGCTGCAAGCTGAAAAGAAGTTGCAGCAAGAGCAGAAAAAGCACCCAGCTTACTCAGTTGGTAAACTTACAGGGGCTGTGTGTGGACAAGGCTGTAAAAGTGTCCGGCTTCAGGCAAGATCAGACTGGCGCGCAGTCTGACGTGCCATAGCTGCAGCCATTGTGGGCATTGCAGAGTCTTTGTAGCTGGTCGTTTTGAAGTTCCCTGGTTTCAACATCATATTCTACGGCGCCTGCTTGATTCCGTGACGGGCAGGTGCTATCTTCCATCTGGAGCAGATTTGGCTGGTCGTGAGTCGTCCCAGCATCAAGCCCAACCAAAGCCGTTTGGGCCGAGCTTAGCGCTGCACGTCCAGAAATAGAGCACGTGACAGCTGAAAGGGGCTGCAGCGGGCCCATGACATGATCTGCAACAAGTGGGCGGCGCATCAGCAAAAAGGGAAGCCTACGGGCCGTCCACATAGCAAATACTTGCTGCACATGAGCACTAGATGATTGCCGTAATTACGCACCTCTGCATGCTTGGTCCGACATTGTTCTCAAAGGAGGCCGATCGCCACAAGAAGGAGGAGGAAGCAGAGCAGCGTCGCGCAGATGAGCAAGCTGAACGACGCAAGCAACAGGAACAGGAGGTGGCCGCTGCACATCGGAGGTCAGCAGACAAAGGCTGTGAAACGGGATTGGCTTTGCGCCAGGCTCAAGCAGCAAAGGCTGCCAAAGAGGCCAAGGAGGCCCAGGAAGCCAAGGCCCTGTGTCACCTGTCCCTAAACCCTAAACCCTAAACCCGCCTGTAAGAGAGGGAAAAAACCCGCCTGTAAGAGTTGGATGCCAGGAACGTGCAGATGCGGAGGCGGCTGCAGCGGCTGCGAAACAGGCGGCAGAGGCCTCCGTGGAGGTGCGGCGGCTGTGCCCTGCCTGGCCCTGCACCAACGCTTACTTGGAGGATCATGGGACTTAGCAAGTAAGGTTATAACTACCTTAACTGGGTTATAACTACTTATAAGTTTATAAGTATTAGTTACCTCAATTATAACCCTAGTTACTAAGTTACTAAGTCCCATGATCCTCCAAGCAACCCTAAACCCCCCTTATAGAACCCTCATAGATCCCTTTAAGGACCCCTTTAAGGAACCCTACGTACTAAGTCCCATGATCCTCCAAGTAGGGACTTGGAGCCTGGCAGGCGGCGGCGGAGCCGGAGGAGAGCACTCAGCCAGTGGCGCCAACTGCCTCGAGCAGCGGACCCAGTGCCCTTCCGCGCGAAAGCGTGCCGATGTGCTTCTTTAGGGTACCTTAGCCTACCAAAACCTACTTTTTTGTAGGGTCCTATTATAAACCCTAATCTAGAATTTATAGCGGCCCTACAAAAAAGCAGGTTTTGGTAGTTTAAGGTAGGGTATTGCCTATACCATGGAAGTGCCGGCATGGCTACGTTTGATGCTGCAGGCAATCCTCTGAAGAGACTGAGCGCCGCCTCTCCCCAAGAGCTGTGAGGGCAGTCACGTGGGTAGTTGTCAAAATTATGGTCCCTTTTGGGGTACCCTAAATAATAGGTGCCGTATTATAATAAGGACCCCCAAAAGGACCATAATTTTGACAACCACCCGCGTGCTTTTAGCTTATGGCTTAGGCATGAGTCATGTCCGCTTGCTCCATCGATGGCGTAGGCGGCACTCGCTTTCTGTGGCCTGCCAGGCACAGAGAAACCAGCACAAGCTTTGCAAAAAGAAGTTGAAGGAGATCGAAGGTCTCCAGGCAGACATGGGGCGGAAGGGGCTCATTCTTCACAACCGCAGAGGTGACATGGAGTCAGCTGCAGCCCTTGTCCTCCATCTGCTTCGACATACTGCCAAAAATCATTGGCCCAAGAAGCAGGAAGCAGGATAAGCAGGGACGAGCGGTCGGCAAGATTCATCTCCCCACGAGTAAAGACCAGCCAGATAAAACACTGCTGGCAAGCCACAGCGTGCTCTCGGGATGAAAGCATCATTAAGAACGGTACAGAGAATATCTTGAGCGATGGATTGCGGTCCTCGTGCAGCCATCGCGGCTTCTGCTGTTGGCCTGTTGGCGACCTGCAGAACCAAGTACGGTTTTTTGTCTTCGAACCTGCTTGAAGGTTGCGCGTTCGGTGAACTTGTATTCGCCAGCACATCGAAAAAGCATGTGCCAAGGTGAGCGTGATTCTGATGCCGCTTGGAGCTAATTGTCCAGGCCACGGTCCCACGGGGTCCTACGGTCGGAACTGTCAAAGTTGTGAGGACCTTGAACGGAGACCGGGGCCCGGGGCAGTACAAGTTGTGTTTGCATCACAGGGTTTCAAGCTGTGGAAGCATTTGGGAGTTTCCGAAAATAAAGGATACCTTATTTTGGGGTCCTTATAATAAGGATCCTATTGTTTAGGGTACTGTCTTGGGGTCCCCTATTTTTGGAAACCCCCATTTATAATTCGCATTCATTTCATTCTCGCCATTGGCCAGCAAGTTGTTCGCGTGATTGCAACATCTACGGTTGGCTTTATTGAAGACGTGCACTGACGTACTATTGTGTGGCCCTGTTGTACAGGACATGTAAAGGAGTTACTACAGACTGCATGTGATTAGATTTTCATGGTATGTGTTGCGTTTGCTCCCTGCCTGATATGGTGTGGTATGATGTAACAAGGCGAGATACAACATAGTTCGAGAGTAAGTATATATGTATACACACAGAGAGACGGCAAGAGAGAGAGAGAGAGAGCGAGGAGCGAGCGCGTCGACATGCGTCGACGACGACGACCACCACTAGTACTGCGACTACGACAACTGCTACGACGACTACACTGCGACGTCGAACGACGACGACGACTACTACCACTACTACTACTGCGACTACTACTCCGGCTACTTCTGCTGCTGCTACTGCTATTGCTATTGCTGCTGCTGCTGCTGCTGCTGCTGCTGCTGCTACTGCTGCTGCTACTTCTACTGCTACTGCCTGCTGCTACTACTACTGCTACTGCTACTACTACTACTACCACTACTACTACTACTACTACTACTACTACTACTACTACTACCGCCCTAGCGCCACTACCACTACCACCACTTCCAGCATTGCCACTACCACTACGACAACAGCTACCGCGATTACTACCACTACTACCACGACTACCGCGACCACCACCACTACCACCACGGCTACT